TTAAAGTTTATCACTTAATCATTTAGACCCTTAATATTTGAAATATTATATACAAACCCCTAAAGTTTGTACAAGCGAAACAGATAGACCCTGCTGTAAATATATCCGTTAATAAATTATTTTCACACCCCCCTAAAGTTTGTAAACATATATTACTTAGGCCCTTTAAGTTTAAAATATTATACTTAGACAAAAAATACTTCAATCAAAGATAGAATATCAAATATTTTTTAATATAATGATTAGATACATCAATATTTTTTAAAAATAAAAAATATCAATATTTTTTAATCCTAAAAAACATTGGTACTTTTTAAATCTAATATAATAATTAGATATATCAATATTAATATTTCAATTTCAATTAGTTGAATATTGATAATGACCAATATTTTTGGTAACGCTCTTATGTTTCATTTTAATTATGTTTAATGTGTTTTTTGATTTATTGTGGGCATATGATGCATGGATGATGATATTTATATTTTTCAAAAAAAATTTATGATTTTTCAAATTTTTTTAGAGCTTTTATCTAGCATTTTGAGCGTATCGGCCNATTTATATTTTTCAAAAAAATTTTATGATTTTTCAAATTTTTTTAGAGCTTTTATCTAGCATTTTGAGCGTATCGGCCGATACTATACCACAACACCGCGACCGATGTGTATTAGTGCTCTCCGAGTTGATGACCAATACCGCAACTTTGAACCATAGTCNCCGATACTATACCACAACACCGCGACCGATGTGTATTAGTGCTCTCCGAGTTGATGACCAATACCGCAACTTTGAACCATAGTCAGATTGTCCAATCCTGTCCTTTTAACCAATGTCTTATGTGCGCCATCTTTCAATTTCAATCTCATTTCACTCATCAACTCTCATGTTGTTTCTTATTTCAACTTGGTTTCGGTTTTATTCAAGACCTGTTAGCGTGGAGAACAATTAGGATGGGTAAAGAAAGAAATGGATTGTACTACCTTATGCAGAATCCTCGCAATCAATCTTATTCCAATGTTTCTTCTATACAAACTAAAGTCTCTTCTAATCTTTGGCATTTTAGACTTGGCCACTTGTCTTCTCAGAGATTAGCTTTGGTACACAAAGATGTGTCTGATATTACTTTTTGTAATAATGATCATTGCAATGTTTGTCATTATGCTAAACAAAATAGGTTACCAATTCCAATCAGCACCACAACATCAGTTGGTCCTTTTCAGTTAGTGCATTGTGATATTTGGGATCCTTCTTTTGTACATTCATTAAATGGTTCACAGTATTTCCTTTCTATTGTTGATGATTTTTCTAGATGCACTTGGTTATATATCATGAAGCATAAATCAGCTACTCAATCCTTACTCATTTCATTCTTTACCTTAGTAGAAACTCAGTTTCGTACAAAGGTCCAGAATATAAGGTCCGATAATGTTTTAGAATTTTCTGTAGAGCCTTACTTTACATCACAAGGCACAATTCATCAACATAGCTTTGTTGATACCCCTTAACATAATGGGGTAGTGGAAAGAAAACACCAACATCTTTTGAAATCAGCGAGAGCCTTAAGGTTTCAAGCTAATCTTCCCCTTCATATTGTGTTCTAATAGCAGGTTATCTAATTAATAGGCTACCTACACCAGTTTTGACTCCTTATGAATTGTTCTCTCATAAACAAAGTTATTCTCATTTGAAAGTATTTGGTTGTTTGTGTTATGCATCCATTCACCCTCGCAATAGATCAAAATTTGATGCAAGGGCTAAGCAATGTGTGTTCATTGGATATCATTATGCTGTTAAAGCATACAAAGTTTATGATTTAACTACACATTCTGTTTTCATCTCTTGAGATGTTGTATTTCATGAGTCTATCTTTCCTTTTCATTCCATTGATACTTCTTCTCAATCTGCTGAAGACAATTCCTTAGTTCTTCCCTCTTTACTTGATGATTTAACTACTTCTGATTATATTTCATCTGATGACAATGTCATCCCCTCAGCTGATTATCCTATTGATTCTCCTTCCTATTCTCCTACACATCAACCCTCTCTTAGACAATCTCATCGACCAAGAAGAACCCCTAATTACTTACAAGATTACCATTGCCAGCTTATTTCTTCTCAATCATCCACTTCAATCTCTATGGTGAGTGGTTATCATTCATCAGGTACTGCTTATGATATCTCTCAATTCCTTTCTTATAACAAATTATCTGTTGCACATCGTTATTTTGTTCTTAACATTATGAACCACAATATTTCCATGAGGCTGTTAAATCCTCTGAATGTTACACAACCATGAATTCTGAAATCCAAGCTTTTGAGGCTAACAATACCTGGACCGTTACTATTCTAACAACTAGCAAGGTTTCTATTGGTTGTAAGTAGGTATATAAGATCATGTACAAGGCTGATGGTACCATTGAAAGGTACAAAGTAAGGCTAGTTGCTAAAGGGTATACTCAAGTAGAGGGATTGGATTATTTTGAAATATTCTCTCCGGTGGCTAAGTTCACCACTATCAGATGTCTATTGGCCTTAGCAGCAGTCCAAGGCTGACATCTTTATCAATTAGATGTTCATAATGCTTTCTGACATGGAGACCTTATTGAAGAAGTTTATATGCAACTTCCACCTAGTTTTGCTAAGAAGGGACTCAATCAAGTCTGTAAGCTGAATAAGTCCTTGTATGGGTTGAAACAAGCATCAAGACAATGATTTTCTAAACTATCTCAGGCAATTCTTGGATATGGTTGTGTACAATCCAAATCTGATTACTCTCTTTTCATTAAACAAGATGATAATTTTTTTCTAGCTATGTTGATTTATGTTGATGACATAATTATAGCCTCTGATACTCCTACTGATGTAGCTGACTTGAAGCACTTTCTTCATAGTCAATTCAAAATCAAAGACCTTGGTTCTTTGAAATATTTTTCAGGCCTTGAAATAGCGAGATCATCTCAGGGAATTTCAGTTTATCAACGCAAGTTTGCTCTCAAAGTGCTTCAAGATTCTGATTTTCTTTGTGCTAAACAAGCTAAATCTCCAATGGAACAACATCTAAAGCTAGACAGTCTCACTGGTTCAGAAGTATCTGATCCTTCTGCTTATAGACGACTTGTGGGCAGATTACTCTACCTTACTCTTATAAGACCTGATTTGGCTTATGTAGTTCAGGTTCTTAGTCAGTTCATGAACACCCCAAGACAACCTCATTTAGATGCTACTCATCGCATTCTTAGATATCTTAAAGCCACACCTGCTCAAGCTTTATTTTTCCCACTCTCCTCAGCTCTCCATCTTAAAGCTTTCTGTGATGCTGCTTGAGCTAGATGCCCTAATACACGCAAATCATTGACTGATTTCTATGTTATTCTGGGCAATTCCCTTGTTTCTTGGAAATCAAAGAAACAATCTACAGTCTCTCAATCTTCTGCTGAAGCAGAATATAGAGCTATGGTCTCTACTTGTTGTAAACTCACTTGGTTGCTTGCTCTCCTTGCTGATTTCAGAATTCTTCATCCTCTTCCTGCTTTACTCTTTTGTGATAACAAAGCAGCTTTACACATTGCAACCAATCCTGTTTTACATGAAAGAACAAAGCACATTGAGCTGGATTGTCACTATGTTCGTGATCAAATCCATCATGGCATCCTCAAAGCTCTTCATGTTACATCTTCAAATCAACTCAATGATATTTCCACCAAACCACTTGGTCTTTCTTCTTTTTCTTTACTTCTTGGCAAGATGGGTGTTCATAACATCTACACTCCATCTTGAGGGGTGTGTATTGAGAATATTGCAGCTACAGAAGCTGAATCAAAGCATGAGCTGAAGATGCTGAAGCTGCATAGATGAAGATAAAGCTGCATACAGAGTATCTCTTGCATAGCTGGACTTGGAGTTGCAGCACACCAGAATGTATCTATTTCACTTCAAGAAAGCTATGCACATGCAATTGAGCTGAAATGAGATCACCCAAGAGTTGAGCTGGCATAATTAGTTACAGTAGTTAGTTAGGATCTAATTATTGTTATAACAGATTCAATTAGTTAGAAAAGAGAGTGAGTTAGAAGTGAGATAGTTAGCTCTTGTAATTTGTATAAATGTAGACCTTGTGTCATTCAACACAATAATGAAAATGGAGATTCTTTCTTCCAAATCATTTCTTCCTCATTATTAACAACAACTAAAGACCCTTATGATCATTCCTATATAGAAGGTAAACCGTGAAACGGGCCACTGCCTAAGGCAGTGATAAAATTGTTGGGCAAGCTGCATGCACGTGAGTTTGTGCATAAAAACCTTCGGGCAGCCACTTAGGGGCTTATTGGTAAGAGGGTATGGGGGCCTTGGTAAGAAGGGTTTGGGGAAAATAGTCCAAATGGCCCCCAAATCTCATGTTTGTATGAAAATTTCAGTCCCAAATTTCCAAATCCGGCCCGTAGCTGGCCCGAAAATTAAACCTATGATCATGGATTTCGTCAAACCTAGGAAGGGGGAAGGGGGAAGGGGGTGGATTTAAAAAGATGGGTAAGGGGTTAAGAATCCAAAAAACAATTGTACTCCTAGGATATGAATTGAATTGATCAAGAGTAAAATAGTTATTTATAAGACAAATAGTTGTTAATAATTATGATATATCCGTGGTCCTACGTATGTATATGTTACATACTAAATATGGGTATAGACCAGATTGAATGTTGAATCTCATCTTTGTAAAGAGGGCTTGGATTTGGAAGGGTTCGAAGAAACCAATCCAAACCCCTCCCCAAAACTCATCCAACCAAGCCCTTAGTTCTTTAAGCGGTATTCAGTCTAACCTTTCACAGTTTTGAACCATTATATAGTAAAGGTAAAACATGAATGAATCTCAACAACTACTTCCTCTACCCACTAATATCCAATGCCCATTAAAAGCAAATAATATAAAATCTGCTAAATGCGCAAAGACCCAAAAAATAGTCAAAGATAAAAAGGATTATAGGATGTTATATTCCAACCTCAACAATTCGGCCATGATCATTGAACAGAAACAGATCAAGTTGTGGCGAATCCAGACCCAGCACAATACAATCCCTCGGAGTCTCAAACGATGAGAGAGAGAATTGCTTGAACACAACACCTACATCAAAGTAAATCAACCCGGAACTAGGAATATCCACCCTAATACCCTTCACAGGGAACCAAAGAAACAGGTCTTCCGCAGCGACACCGGACAATTCCGCAATTTCACCAAACCTTAGGGTGCCGGAGACATTCAAATTAAAACGGACGTGGGATTCGAAATTGGTGTCGCAAATGTTGTCCAAATACACCTCAAAATGGCCTGTGGATGGGTCTATCGTAAAATTAGTCACACCTTTTGGAAGGAGACCGATTGGGAGACCGTGGGAGTGGAGAAGATCGTAGATTGATGAAATTGTAGATGTATCTGTGGTTGATGATGTTAACGGGCATGTGGAGATTAGAATACAGATGGTGAAGGTCAGAGAGATTAAAAATGAACCCATTTTGTTGTTTGGAGGAAGAAAGAGGGAGGGACAGAGGGCATGAATTGGGCAGGTCGGGATTTTAGCCGTTTAGGGAAAGAGCAGAGAGGTAAAGAGAGGTAAAGAGTTTGAGTGGGAGAGAAACGGGAAGCGAGGGAGGGGGTTGGGAGTTCATGCTGTGGTGCCAGCTAGATATAGTATTTAAAAAAAAAAAAAAACTGGAGCTAGATATGGTAAGGAAAATGTTTTGTATTTTTTTTGACCTAGTTTAATGATTAAAGTTGGGATCTACTAACAAGCAATTTATAGTGACAATTGTTATCTTTGGCTCATCAATCAGCTTAATTCGCCCATAAATTAATAGGTTGAATACTTATAATAATTAATGCCAATTTTAAGTAAGCTAAGTAATAACACTCAATTTAATTTAGTGGATTAAAATGGATTACATATAAATATAATTGAGTAATCTATTATTTTTTCGAGATAATATTTTGAACTCCTGGACATCATTTGTTTCTAAACTCTAATCCCAAAGCCCATCACAACCATAGGAAAATACATATTTCAAGAGTGTATTGCTTGATATATGATTTGTGTGAATAAGGAGAGGAATAATGATTATTTTACTAATCATGGATTGATTTCTTTTCATAAAACTATGCCAAGTCATTTTTATTGATATAGTCGTTATTGATTATGAAATATATGTGAATTATATATTGCTTTGATTTATATCAAATCTATTCACATACATCGTCACTATAGTCAGAGTAAATATATGGNATATCAAATCTATTCACATACATCGTCACTATAGTCAGAGTAAATATATGGTTAAGTATATACTTTGGTGAGGATTGCATCGAGTCTAACCATAGATCGGGGAAGGGATGAGTTATTTTTTATTGATCATCTAATCATGCACAGTTATTTGCAGACCACACATGAGGTTCAATAGGGATTCAATATGTGAATACTATAGTATAGCTTTTAATTCTACAAATTGACTTGGTAAGAACTTATTCTTTTTTCTATCAAATATATTGTTGCTTTATATTTTGTTAAAGTTATATGTTAAATTCAAAGGATCAATAGATTAATAACGGTTCAAAAAAAAAAAAGATTAATAAAAGTTTGTAGGTATCTTCACTTAAAATTTTCATGAGACTATAACTCATCCACTAAGAAAAACTTAGCTGTTTAAAAGCTTCTTACGTATACTAAATGCAAACATGTGTCTTGTGAAAGTGAATTTTTATTTTATTTTATTAGGTTGTTTTATTTGATTTTTAGTTTTTGGGACCCATGTATTACTAGATACTAGTAATATTCAGGTGGGTTTGGCTTGTTTGTTGTGAGAAGATAACAATAGGTGGTGCTATTAAGTGGAACGACAGTGTTTTGGCCCCAAATGCTGCCGTTTTGCGAACTACTGGAAAACAAAAAAAAAAGGGGCCAAACGGCACCATTTTTTGCCACGGTGAAAGCACAAAAACCCCTCAAAAAATGAAATTTCAGCAATGGTTCATCACATTCTCCCGCCCTCAAGATTGTATTCCCATAGACTTCCATCATATTGTTGAAAAATCTCAAAATCTAGTACTTGGATTCCCATAGACTTCCCTTGTATTGTTTAAAAATCCCAAAACCCAATATTTCATTCGAGTTGGTTGCACAGTCCATCTGAAAATTCGTTCCCACTCCATTTGATTTGGACTCCATTTGTAAGTTCAAGCACACTTTTTTTTTTTAGTGATTTCGTATTGTTTATGATTCTTTTTAAGCTTTGAAAATGTACCACTATCACATCGAAATTGTAATCATTAGTGTGTTGATCTGTTAAAAAAAAAATGTTTATTAATATCTTGTAGATTTGTTTACCAGTAATATATTGTTTATATTTCATTTACCAAAAAATTGTTTGTTTAAACTTTTTTATATGTTTTATGTAGATTAGACATCTTTAACATTGTGCTTATGAATATGCTTAATGTTATATTTTGTTCTTAATATGATGTTGATATTGTATTGATATTTTCATAATTTTTTTGACATTTTAGGTGACCTATTTATAATGTAGATAGAATGTGCCGAGATTGAGATAACAGATAATACTCCGCATATTGACATGCAATTTGACACGGAGGAAGATGCTTATAGATTCTATAACAATTATGGAGGATCTGTGGGATTTAGTGTGCTGAAAGATTATCACAACAAAAGTTTGAAGGATGGTTTAGTAATCTATAAAAAATATGTTTGTTGTGAAGAAGGACAAAGAAGTTGAGATAAAAAGGGATTAAAAAATAACAAAGTCTCGAGCAGAGACACAAACGAATTATTCAGCTCACATGTGCATATCTCTTAAGAGAGATATTGAAAAATTTGTTATGGTGAAATAGGAAGACAAACACAAACACCCTTTGCACCTTACTAAATGTATACATATGATGTCATCCTAACAAAATATTTCTGGAGGCCAAGGCATAAATGTTGATATGGCTGAGGATTATGGGATCTCACTGAAGGCATCGTATGAACTTTTGATTACGCAAGCAGGTGGGAGGGAAAGCTTAGGACTCACTCTTTAAGATCAAAAGAATTACATTCAAAAAAGGAGACAACGAGACCTGCGATATGGTGAAGCAGGTAGTTTGTTAAATTATTTCCAAACAGAAGCAGAAAAAAATTCAACATTCTATTATGGTGTGCAGTTGGATGTTGAGGAGCATATCACAAATATATTTTGGCCCGAATCAAGAATGATTATCGATTATAGTCACTTTGGGGATGCTTCATTTGACACAACATTTCGAACAAATAAGGAGTATCGACTATTTGGGATTTTTATCGGCTTCAACTATTTTCGGGAGACAGTAATATTTGGTGCTACATTGATGTATGATGAAACAACAACTTCATTTCAATGCTTATTTGAGACATTTCTACATGCAATGTCTAGGAAGAAGCCAATTATCATATTTACTGACCAAGATCAAGCAATGGCTAAGGCTTTATCCCAGGTGATACTAGAGACTTGTCATGGGTTATGTACATGGCACCTATCCCAAAATACTTTAAAGCATCTAGGGTACCTTTATAAGGATGGTTCAAAGTTTTCAAACCAATTCAAAAATTGCATATATGAATATGAGGAAGAACATAAGTTTTTTGATGCATGAAAATTTTTGCTTGATGAATATAATTTGCAAGATAACATATGGATCAATTCAACTTGGGCATTGGAGGAAAAATGGACACATGTATATTTGAAGGATACTTTCACAGCAAGTATGAGGAGTACTAAGCTTAGTGAGAGCCTTTATGCAGCATTACGAGGGTACTTGAAGCTAGACCATGATATTGTTCAATTTTTTACCCATTTTGATTGAACAATAAATGACGAAAGGTATAAACAGTTTGAGGTAGAATACCATGCGAAGCAAAATTTGCCAAGATTATGCTTAAAAAGAGCTCCCATGTTAGTGTAAGCAGGACAATGTTACACTCCTATTTTTGAGAGATTTCAAGAGGAGTATGATGCGTTCCAATGTGCTATTGCAAAGCCGATGGATGTGTTTGATGGTTGTCAGCATTTGTTGTTAGATTATACGACGAAATCAAGGAATATTTGGTGTTGATTAATTCTAATGAGCAAAAAGTTAGTTGTAGTTGTCGAAGATTTGAAATTGTTGGGTTTTTATGTAGTCATGCACTTAAAGTTCTAGATACGGTGACCATTAAGAAAATTCCAGATCACTACATAATACAAAGATAGTGGTGAGATGCAACAAGGCTATGTAGGCAGATTTTCACTGTCAGACCAAATGAGGAAGATCCCAAATTGATGGGTTCAGAACAGTATAGGCAACTTTGTAGTAAAATGGTACCACTAGCAGCTCGTTGTTCTAGCATTAAGCCTGCATACCAACTAGTGAACAAGGATATTGATGAGCTTTCCAAAAAAGTTGACATCATGTATGCATCACTCGGTGGGGATGAAAAAGTTCGTGAGGATGAAAATGTTGACCCCAACATTCTACGGGTAAAAGGTTTGAAGAGAAAAGATGGTGGTTATAAGGGTTGGGGTTGAATAAAGCCTTGGAATGAGAAATAAGCAAAAAGGAAAACAACTTATTCTCATAAGTCTAGGTGGTGTTTGGATGATAGGATTAAGGGGGATTGGATTAAAATTGTGAATACAGTCCATGTATCCTTGGTTTGGGTAAGTTGTTTGGGATTGTATTTTCGTTGGTTTTGAAAAAATCAGCCGTATATTTTGAAACAAAGAATCCCATCTACAAGTGATTGAGAATTCCCTTCTACTGTAAGGGATTGTGGAATTGAGAAGTAGGATTAAATGACTAAAATCTAAAATACCCTCTATAGTAAAAATTGTAGGATTTTTACCTCCATTCCCCTTCACTTTCACTTTCACACTGGTCCCCTCTTCTCCTTGAACGATGCTATTTTTGCTCAACCAGGTTTGCCTCTCTCTCTGTCTTTGTCTCTCTCTTTCTCTCTGTCTATGTATAATGTCGCTTTCTTTGGCATATGTAGTGGGGAACACATGTAAACATTGAACATTGCATGGTGTTTGATATAGATAAAAAAAAGTGGACTAACTTACCTTCTTTTTTTGTTGTTTTTTGTCGATCTATGTCTCTCTTTATCTCTTTTATTCATTTGCTCAAGCTTGCTGCTTCACATCGGGTCTGATTCTTCGATGGAAGTAGCAGATTTGGTATCAATGGTGCACTGCTCAGATCTGCCCACTATTGACCAGATCTATTCATGGAAGTAGCAGATCTGGCCATTGAAATGGTCGATCTGCTGATGCTTCGGAACGATGTATATTACCTTCAAAGACAGAGACATTTGTTCTCTCTCTCTCTCTCTCTTTCTCTCTCTCTCTCAATCTTTCTTTGTCTGATGCCTTAGCCGAGTGAGTGGCTGTGTGTTTCTCCACTGCTAACTCTCAACATAGACAGAGGGTTTGCTAATTTTTTAATTAACAA